AAATTCAATACATTTAATCAAACATATGTTAATACAATTAGTTTAAATATTTTAAGTGTAAAATTAATCAAAACATATGCAAATGTTTGAGCGTAAATTAATATTCATCATTCGTATACATTATAGAAAAATGATAAATCTGAGAAAGTTTAGATTTATATGAATTTATTGGATATTACAAACAAAAAATAATATATGTTTTCTAATAATGAAATGTATAGATATTTGTAAGTGTGATTAAATATGTAGACTACATCATAATAAAGTTATTTGTGTAGTTTCCTATATATATATATAAAACAATATGATAATGAAAACTTGTTAATGTATAAAAAATAATTAAAAATAAATGATATGGTAAGTATAAAATGTTATATTTTGTTGGATTTATATTTTTTAAACATGTATTAATTGGTTTATGTTAAAAAATTAATGAAAATAGGTAGAGATTTTCATCATAACATATAGTTTTAAATAAAATATTATTATTGGTTTATTTAAATGAGGTGTCTATTGAATTGTTCTTTGAGCGACATATATTATTTTTTCTTTAATGTCTGATCAATTAATATATAGAAGATTCTTGATAATCATAAAAACTTTATGAAATAGTACATTTAAATTTTCCACAACTATGGCGTAAAGAATTTTGATAAGATGAACCAACTACAAACCAACAAACATTTCCCCCATTATGATCAATGAAATATAATATCAATTTATCTTAATCAAAAATATTCGACCTAATCAGTATGATCAGTGCCAAGTCACTGTTTGGTAATTCAAAGAAGTAAAAATCTTGCATCGATGTCTTTAAGCGTGATCTTCACTACCTATGTATCATTATTATATAACGATGAATCAAGGTACGTAAAATAAGGGAGAATCGCAACTTTAAGGTAAATATCCCTTGTATAGGGTTTTCTTATTATTAATCTTCTGACTAGAGAATACAAACTACAAGATCTCTTCATATAAGCTCTTAAAAGTCTAATACTAATAGAATTGTCTAACAGGAAGTATTTCATTTTTCTTAAATGTAAACCCTTTTTTCTTAGGTGTGGTTGCTATACATTTCAATAGTTTCATTCTTCTAGAAAACACTTTTAGTGAAACAATCCAACGAAAAATCTAATGATTCTTTCGTAAGGAATATTATACAGGTCTCAACTCTCACGGTTTTGACTCTTGGAAAAAATCAAGCGATTCCAATATTTCGAAACTCTACCAAATTAGT